GGGGGGGGGAGGGGTAAAAATTAATTTTATCTTTCATTGTATTCTAATTAAAGGTCTCAACGAAAGGAACAGTTTTCTACAAACTACTGCCCTTCTTTCTATTCTCTTATCAAAGTACGGGGCGGAGGGGGAAGGGGAGGGGGAGTGGAGCTTCATGGTACTCTAATGAAAGGTCTCGACGAAAGGAATTAATTTATACTAACCATAGTCTTCTTCCTCGATCCCTTGTCGTGATCGGTTATAATTCCTTATATCTTAAGAGTGAATTGTCAAAGGAAAGTACCTACAAAGGGCGATTGGGAGGTTTGGAAGAAATATAACCATTGGTCAGCCAGTTTCAAAATTTGGTTTTGGGGTTTAAATGAAATTTGATACATAGCCACTTGGGATAAAAGCAAATGTAGCGCCATTTTCCAAATTTGGTTTTGTGTAGCATGTGCAGTGCCAACTTTCTTATTTATGGAAAAAATTTCGTAGGGGTGTTTAAAAAAATGCCCTTTACCTGCACAAGTACAATTTGTACTTGTTTTTCTTGTATTCTACTATATTCAGTCAATAAACTGCAATTAATATTATTATTATTATTATTATTATTTGTTATCAGACATTAAGAGACTTAAATTCTAGGAAAAAATAAAATTTCATCTCTCTTAACTACACAGAAAAGGCAATCAATCACATGCACTTGTCTATTAAATTAAGCATTTACAATTGATAACAGATAAAGACCAAACAAAATTCCCAGAAATTTCTATGTTAAATAAAATAAAAAGGTGAAAAAAAACAACCTTGCCCGCTTTCGCGTATGACACAAATATTCCATATGCCGTTTAGTCTAAGCGGTACACAGAAAAATCTGACGAATAATGCAGAAAGCATGCTGTTTGGCATGGTCGATTTTTATGTCCAATAGATCGATTTGACCCGCAGCACCCCCCCCCCCCCCCATGTAGAACCAATATGGCGGCTATTTAAGAAAAAATCTGTTTCTGACTAAAAAAATATGTATTTGTATTTCAAAGATGGCATGCGAGTAATGTTTAAATTTGAGGTCAAACAAACAAAATGTAATAAATTTAAGCTTTAATTACTTTTATCCTTACTCTAATGAAAGGTCTCAACGAAAGGAATTAATTTCTACCAACCATAGCGCTCCTCCTCAACCTCTTATCGTGATCGGGTATATTCCTTTATACCTCAAGAACGGATTGTCGGAATAGGGTACTCACAAAGGGCGACTGAGACGTCTGCAAGAAATATATCCATTGGTAATGTCAAAACAAAAGCTATTTCGGTTGAAAAAATGCGCTTTATCTGCACAAGAGTTGTGCACCATTTATACTTGTTTAATTTTGATAACACTGTTTGGTTTTGATGAAACACACGCTCCACTCCGACGAACTCGACTCGCTCTGATTTGTAACGGTCCATAGCTCGGCTTCGCCTCGCACTTTTCACTGTTAAACAAAGACAATTTTTCAGTTTCAGTTTTGGTACGATAAGACAATGATATTGAGCAGACTGACTTGACAAGTGTGTTTTTTTCATATCTCCCCTCTTTCGCCCTCTTCAAATTTTTAAACTAAACATGATTTTACTTTTTATTGGTAAAATGTATTTTTTTACAAAATCAAAATTCTTATTATTTATCCAACAATTATTTTATGAGTTAGGTCGACATTAAAACAAAAAAAATATATTGGCTGGAAGAAGTATTTTTATAATATTTAAATGACTTATTAGAGTGTAAATTGCTTGAATTTTGATTTTTTTGTCGCAGATTTGAAATCAGCGACCTCAAATTATCCTTAAACGATCACCCGCATGCCGCCATCCTTGAAATGTAAATATATATTTTTTAGTCAGTGACAGTTTTTTTCCCAAATGGCCGCCATATTGGTTCCACAGGGTGGGGGAAGGGAGTGCTGCGGGTCAAATCGATCTATTGGACATAGGTACACATCGTTTATGGCTTGCTTTCTGTATTGTTCGTAAGATTTTTTCAACTTTTAATATGTGCCGCTTACACTAGTTACATAGACCAACGGTACAAATTAATAAAATTTAATTACAAAAGTTAATTACACAAGAAGGAGACCGCCCTTGTCCATCTTGATTAGGATGTCCCAAAATTTCATCCTGCCAGACTAAATAAACACAGCAACTTATATCAAATTAGTCCGCCACTGTTTCATCATCATCATCATTACATTAGTATGTTACCAACTTTACACATTTCTTGTTTTGCGGGAAATTGAAACTGTCCTCAGTTATTTTGGATTACCCGGTATACCTCCAACTTCATGCAACATGTACTACTGCTACTTTTGACTACATTCGTTATGTAAAGTAACGTAATAACGTCATGTTAAACATTTCTCAAATGTATATGTATAGAATAAATAGTATCTATAAGAAACTTAAAATACACGTTTCATAAGACGCCTCATCGCAATGGTTTATTAGAAAACTCTTGGTTTAGAACAATGTCGTATAATGAGAGCGAGAATGGTATAAAATAATTACGGTAGCCTACGACTAAGTATTATATTATACATATAACTTTTTTCCTTTAAATTGGATAACTAACTTTTATATGCTATGAATTCCAATGACAGAGTTTCGTAGTTGTTGCTTCGACTGATCATGATGATGTAAGTAATGTCAATAAAACTTTACTTTCAATGTCTGAACTCCGCCATTTAGACAGGCTCTGTATAGAAATTGTCTATTAAAGTTATTTATTATTATTATTATTATTATATTAATTTCCAAAAAAGTAAATAGGTCAATAAACTGCATTATCAAGGAAATGTGTACCAAAATCATACATTCAGACTTGTCACAAAATATAAAATTTTATTTTTGGATGAGTGGCAGTTTTTCAATTTTTCCGGATATCTTGTTTCAATTTGCTTTACATGTGAGAAATCTTTGACTTTATTACATTTTTGCAGCTGTCGCCTTATCAAAGTAAGAGACAATCGACGATGGGCTCCCCTGTTTAAATAAGCGCACCGAAGTTCGTGACGAATGTTCAAGCTTCACTTCCTCGTATTTGTGTTACGATTCTGTATCTGTAATAAAAATACGTGATTCATTTCAATTCGCATCATCCGCTATATGGTGCTCATAATCCAATATCAATACAAAAAGGTCGGTAGCGAGTTGATTTGGTTTGTTGACTGCCTTTCAGCAACATTAACTTTTAGTAGGATCGATAACTCAAACTCATTTAATCGTTTAACCTATGCAGATACTAGTGAAATAGTTTACAGAAGCTGTGAATAGTTAATTGAGTAAAGGTTAACCAAGAAGTAATAGTACTAAATAAATTGTGTGGAAGCAGTCATGTACAAATAGGTAAGGGAGAGATATAGGATAATGGGAAAATTTTGCAATTCTATACCAGTAATATTCAGAAGTAGGCGAAGAACAAGCTTGCACCAATTTAATTAAAATAGCTTAGCGTAGACAGTCGATTAATCGAACTGTTATTGAATCTTCGACTGACGAGAGCTGGAATAATAGGTATCATAAATGATTAATTATACGTTATATACAATACAGTCTGTTTCCAATGAAGTCGGCACTATTGCTAACTTTCTTAGTTGTAGTTTAAACACGGTTAAATCACTGAATACAAATGTGTAATTAAAAAAACAAAACGTCGCATTTTTCAGATAAAAAAAAGTTACTTTCTATGTGGAACGCCCTGTATGTTATTGCATCATACGCAATTCTCTACAAAAGTTCTTAATGCACCATAGCTAAAATATTTTAAATGGCCAAGATTTTTCCAATCCATGAAATAATAAGATAAGGTAACTGAGCACAGGAATAAATTCGCGTTCACGTAGTACATGCTTACTTTTCTATATACCAACCTCGTCTGCCGAAAACCCCCTTACAATCTAGGCTCACTAGCGTATTATCTTGAAAATGCACCCTTTTCCCGAAAGTGTACACGTAGTTATCGCTCTTATTTACAGACATACTTTCGTACACGTTTGCTATGAAGCGGTATATGTGTAAGTTTTCTATGTTGAATAAAATACAAATTCGTGAAAATACTTTTTGAAAACGGCTTAGCGACTAGATACCTGTTACAGTTGTTCGAATGTATATGTATGCGACCGACATTTTCAAATGGGTCGCAAAATCCATGAAATCCAAATACCACATGTCTTGGTATTTGCAGCTTATTTGTTTGTTCAATCTATGCACAATGGTCCGGCCATTACCAAGAGTGCCAATCCATTCAAGTTCAAGTCTGGTTGTTACAGTCATTACATTATGACCTTTCCTTGTAACGCTATTGGACGACCATTCCCAGAGAAATTTCGGATACTTCCGTTCGGTAGTTCCTTGTTGGAGCTAGTGTTATTTAAATACTCCAAGTAACCATGCTCTGAATTCTAAAATTTTAATTTAAGTAGACATTTATTCGTGTTCAAGCAGATAAGAGTCGAAACGTTACAGTGTTGCCGGTTCGAAAAAGTCGAAACGTTACAGTGTTGCCGGTTCGAAAAACATTTTTCGATCGTGTATTTAATTCTCGGGTACTTTTTAAATTCATGACGAGTTGCCATTACAAGTAAGTTACTCATAAGTGGATGGTTTATTTAAAAAAAGGAACTTAATGACGTAGCGACGTTGACCGCGAATGCTGCGAAACAAGGGAATAAATTCGTTTAGTAGTATTAACGGATTAACGTGCTCTCATGTAAACAAATTGTTACCACAAAAGTGTTGAGGTCCAAGGTGCAAAATGTTTATTGCGCTATATTTGGAGCGACTAGTTACATTTTTGTCAATCAAAACTGTTCATCTCTCAAGACAATTAATTCGTGCTTTTGCTGGTTCTCAAAACTTTATGTTATCAGGGTAATTTTTGACATTTCCATACTGCGGAAGATTGGTAAATTATTCTAGTAAATAAACTAAATTTCGACTATTAATGTTCGAGAATTTAATGCACTTAATGGCTATTTTTCAGGAACTGATAACTTCTTAAATGATTTACATTGTTAAAGCTTTTGCAATATAAACACGATTGAAGTGTTGCTGCGAAAGATTTCGCTTTCTGTCATTAAGACTCGACTGTACCGCCAATACCATTAATGAATTCGGCTGGAAGGACCATTGGCGAACGCTTAAGGTTTTTTTAAGTATTACAAATTGACAATGATTGCCGTTGTTGAATTGGAATATGGAAACTTACGTTAAACCGAACTTAACCATTACTCATTTACGTCTCGGTTGATGAGTCACTAATCAATCAGGGATCCGATTAAGTTGTTACCGTCACATCTATATAATGTATATATAATAAATCCTTCTGAATGACGCCTAATATTATGCAACCGAAATAACATTTAATAAAAAACGATAGTATGCTTTTAGATTATTGTGATGAGATGAATTCGGCCGCTATTTTTCTTAAGTTTCTTATGGGATTCTCTTCCACAAGAATTAAAACGTGCAGTTTCATAACCTCCCTTGAGGGTTGTTTACAGTGTCTTATTTTTTATCTAATTAATTAATATGACTGCAAAATCTTCATCTGTTAAGAAGTTATTTTGGTTGCATAAAATTAGGCATCCTTAAGAAGTGTTTTTGTCATTTAAACCTAGACATAGGAAATCCCTATGTCTACTATTCTAAATGAATATCACTGTATATCAGAATATTCAGAATTAATTACATCTAGCTGTCCGGATTAGACATACTTGTAAGTTAATCTGTCTTAACCCATCGCGGAAGGGTTCTTTAATTCCACTGGTGTAGTCAGAACTGAACAGCAACAGTTGATGTTTAATTTTGTCATTCCACTCAGTGTTATAAAGCTGTAAACTGAGAGGTTGGGTGTATAAAATTTTCAATCGCATTATTCACACCATTTCCATTGAGTCAAAGTTCATTAAAAGAAGGAAGAGTTTAAACTGAAACTGCTGTAATGATGATAAATTGCAACATCTCTACAATGAGAAAGCCTGGAATTATTTCCAACGGATTTCTTTTTTAAAAAATCACTCATAATATAAATGGAAATGGTAGGTGTGTTTTTCCACAAAGAAAAATTATAAGCAGACTGCCAGCGAAAGAAAATCAATCATTTTATAACATAAGAAACGTTTTATTACAAGTACCTACCTACTTCAACAAGTGTTTGTTTCAGCTTATTTTCGGATCTTCGGAGTCTTTCCGGAACGACATTGATGAATCTTTTAGCGGCGCTCTTTATGAACCAGCTTCTCTACGTTATAGGCGTGGGAGGGGTCCCCGTAAGTATATTATCATATTTTAATGAACGGTTTGTGTAAAATTCCCATACTCTGGAGGTTCCAGAAAATTGATTCTAACCATTTTAAATATTTACCTTCAAATGTAGGCTGTTTGCTTACGTGCGAAGGGTTAAACGAAATTTACAATTGTAATTACTTTTTTGACTTTAATTGGAAAGGGTTAGAATTACAATTACAAACCGAGTTTAGATGCTATTAATGTCGGAATATCTACAGAGTTGTTTATTTCTAATTACTACGTGTAATTGTACCACAAACTGAACTGAGAAATTTCTCTCCGAAATTTCCATTTGATGTGATTATTATTTAGTCTTTTGGCAGAAATGCAAACTGAACTGGATAATTCGAAACCTTTATCACCGGAATTTTAGTTTCACACCAACGATGTTGGTTACCACACGTAAAAGCGCATTTTTTGCATTAGGTACTCTACTCTTTAAATATTTTTATCAATAAAGTACGAGGCCCTTTGGAGCCGAGTACTTCAATTTTTGAGTCGAGCAATGTCATTTTCCTGACTAGTTTTGTATTAAATTTTACCCGAGATCGTATTTTAATATAAAATTTCAATATTCATATAGAACTTTTGATTAATGCCAATCTGTCAGTAATAACAGGAGTCATTATATAGACATTGCCAATGTGACAGGTGCGCAATATTCGCTATATAAAAGAATATAAAAGAAAATTAATAATTGAATTATCGTTGGCTTACGGATGCCAGTAAGCCAATTAAGTCTCTTTTCACAACCTGTATCTCACGGAAAATGTTAGCAGCAGCATTCCTTTACTCCCTATTTATATTGCGGCAGTTTCCTTTGAAGCGGCTTCAAGGTATTGGAAAGCTGTATACGAATTAGGTACCTAATAACATTATGAAACAGGCGATTTTATCTTTCGTGTAGAAAACTTTATGAGATTTCAAATGTGCATATACTTTTTTCTCAGGATCAAAGCCATATATGTAGAATTGTTTTTACATAAATTAAATTGCTTAATTTATTTATATTCCATTAATTGTTGATGAACTATTTTTATTTTTTAAATAACTTTATTTAAAACACTTAATTTACGTCCCATGGAGTGGGTTTCTAACATGTATATTTATAACACAAGTGCGAAGTTCACTATCTATCACTAAGCGTCTCTGGTTTGAATCCGGGTTAGGCTGAAAATGCATAGGGGGTTAGATTGGAAGAGCAGCTTGGGCGGAAGCCCCGCTCACTTCAAAATAAAGACAAAAAATAAATAAATACAGTTGAAACTGAAATTAAACACAATGCAATTTGCTTATACTCCTTATGGCCTGTGTCTAATCCTGCTTCGACTGGATGGCGCTTTGATATCGCTCTACAAATTCGTTACATTGCCATATACTGGTAATTGAATGGGTTTGTTTGAATAATGATTTAAATAACATAATATAGCTCTTCTCTACGTATAAAGTGAACTACATTGAATTACTGTCTTGAGTAACATGGATAGTGTGATTAGACATAAAGTTTATTCTAAACGTCGTATTCATCATAAAAAATTGTCAAACTTACGAATCAAAAACCATTGTGTCACATTTGGTGAACAAGGGTTTGAAAAACAACCTGCCATTCAAAAAGCTTCCTATGGACAAAATAGTAGTAGGAATTGACAACCGCAAAATTAAAATTTGTGAAAATGTCCATAGAAAGCCAGAATTATCATTTTCAATTGCCCAAGAGGTTTGTATTTTACCGAGTAAATTTGTGTTGTTTAGGTAATGAAAATCTGTTGCCTAGCAATTAGACTAGACGGTGTCGCATTTTTATTAGTTAGTTTTTCGAGTTCAATTGCTAAAAGGAAACAGATTTGAATTGAAACAACATTTAGATGTAAGTATGAGACATTGTCATTAAATAACCGCAAGGAGCGTCGTTAAATACTTCTATTCAGTACCGAAGTAGAATTGACAAAATCTGGTAAAAGAGGTACGCAGAACTTATAAACTTATAACGTCGAAGGCGAAACTTAATTACAGTAGATACTAAGAGAAGGGATATAAATATAAGTGAATGCGGGTGAGAAGTTCCACGGGCAGCTTCAGATGCCTCAGTGGTTCGCTGATGATACAATCGCTGTTGGAACGCGTTCGATATTTGAATACATTATTGTGGTTTATTGGTGTCTTTTAGTTTGTTTAAGTTCAACGGCCAGTTATTTCAAAAGAGACGTGAGAAATTAGAACATTTCTTTTACAAGACAAAGGGAAGAAGCTTAGTACTAGGCGATACAAACAGTACGGGTGAAAAAATACAATAACGAAGTACTGGAGGTGCTGGGTCCGTTTGGATAAACGTACAGAAACAGTAATGGAAAAAGAATAACAAACTGTTACGTGGAAAATGATTTATTTGTGGTCAATACGTTCTTCAAACAAAGATATTCACACACACGGGTGTTTTATTATAGAAAAGAGAATTCAATATTACATTACGTCGAAGTCATAAGAAGGTGATACTAGATGTGAGAGCCAGAAGAAAACCAGGACACTACAAACTACATGGTTCTCTCCAAAATAAAGCTAGAACCGAAAGCTCACACAAAACATCAATAAACTTCGGGCAGCGCAACACTGGTGACCATCAAGACGAGACAGCTGAGCAGTTTAAAAGCGAAACTCGAACAGAAATGAAAGAATCCTAGCGACGACGGACAAAATCAAGCTGCAATAAATATGGGGAACCATTGTTAAATAAAAAATAATGGAAATCGTATAGCTAATAAAACTGAAGGAACCAAGGATACGCGTAAAAGAATTAATAAACCACTCAAAAAAGCAAGCTTGGAATAAATTCGACCGAAAATGGAAGAAGATAGCAAGACACAACTAGAAAAACTATTGTACAGAGCGCTACAGACATTAAGGAAATGAAAAACTTGAATTTTAGTAAGTCACGCTCTTAAATCACTTTCCCAATGGCGATAACATTAATGGGATTATAATATGAAATTAACCCAGAGGCAAATTTTGCAAATCATAAAACTATTATTTTTTTAATTCTATTGATCAATGCCAAATGAAAATGAATTACCTTGTTTTATTGATCAACATCTTGCACATTTTAGACTCCTACAACAACTCTTTGATGAAGTTCTTCTCTCTTAAGAAATATTAATTATGCACGCCGAGGGGGAAACAACTTTGAATTTTTGTGTACACTTGCTTGAATTTTCTTGGTTTTTATTGAATTTTTGTGAATTTTGTTGAATTTGAAACGTCTGCCAATTTTCATGAATTTTCTTGAATTTTTGTAAATTTTCTTGAATTTTTGTAAATTTTCTTGAATTTTTGTAAATTTTCTTGAATTTTTGTAAATTTTCTTGAATTATTGTAAATTTTCTTGAATTTTTGTAAATTTTCTTGAATTTTTATTGAATTTTCTTGAATTATTGTAAGTTTTCTAGAATTTTTGTTGTATTTTGTAAGTGTTATTCTTTTATTGTATAAATAAACTCGTTAACGTTGTTTAAATTTAATAAAACGTTACAATACAAACAAAATCACAATTATTCTGAGTTATTTACAAAATCACAGACAGGTTTAGAGTAAAAAAGAGATCCAATAGACAATAGACAGGTATTGTATTCATAATCCTTGCCTTAGGGATTCTAAAGTACACGTTCCTATTATTGAGAGTAGGTAGGTAGTATCTTACCTACTTTGACAAAATGCCGAACGGAGTTGATATTTAAACAATTAAAGTTCCGAAAAATAACAACAAGTTAAAAAGTAATCGTAAACGATTTACATAAAGCGCATTTCCACTTGCATTCATTTCCCATTTGTAAGATGCAACTTCTGTTAAAATCGTAAAAATCCGGCCACAAATATGAAAGATAGCGTTGCACATGGGCAATCCATTTTTGACGTGCTACTTCAATTTCAGTTTATGAGAAGAATTTCATTTCAATGCTTTTCTAAATAAGAAAGTTGGAACTGCGCATGCGCAAACCTAAATTTTAAAACTAATGTTAGATTTTCCTTTGTTCCAAGCGCCTAAGTATCAAATTTCACTTAAATAGTTCCATAGATGAAAAAGTTGGCACTGCGCATGCGCAAAATAAAATTTTGAAACTGGCGCTAGATTTTCCTTTATTCCAAGTGCCTATGTATCACATTTCATTTAAATTCTTCCATAAATAAAAAAAGTTGGCACTGCGCATGCGCAAAGCCAAATTTTGAAACTGGCGTTTGATTTTCCTTTATCCCAAGTGCCTATGTATCAAATTTCGTTTAAATTCTTCCATAAATAAAAAAGTTGGCACTGCGCATGCGCAAAACCAAATTTTGAAATTGGCGTTTGATTTTCCTTTATCCCAAGTGCCTATGTATCAAATTTCGTTTAAATTCTTCCATAAATAAAAAAGTTGGCACTGCGCATGCGCAAAACTAAATTTTGAAATTGGCGTTTGATTTTCCTTTATCCCAAGTGCCTATGTATCAAATTTCATTCAAATACTTTTATAAGTAAAAAAGTTTGCAATTCGGTTTATAAATGGTGGAGATGCGAAAAGGGCACTGTGAATTTTGAATCGATTCGATTCAACTTTTGGAATTGCGTATTATATGGCTAAAGCTATGCACATATTTAATTTCATGCAATTCAGTTCATAACTAACGGAGATGTAAAAGCGATCGAACATTTCTAAACAAAGTTATCGTTCACACGGACAGATAGATGGACAGACAGACAAAGAAACAGACGGAGAGACCAACCGGCAGGCGACAGATAGCAATGCAAAATAATAAACGATCTCTAGGATCGTTAATAAACGGCAAAAGTGTAAAATTATGGAACATGTAAAAAACGGTTTTTTGTTTTTTTTACAATAACGGACAGACGGACGGACGGACGGACGGACGGACAAAGTGGCCACAATAGCGCATTTTTTTTTTATTTTTGTGGAAATGCGCTAAAAATGCAACTGAAGAATATTTTATAATT